TGGGAGTGGGTCACCAATCAGCCATCGGCTCTAATATCATTTGTGGGAGCACAAGTCCAAGCCCATCAATATATCCAGTTGGATCCACCTTCACTCAAAAGTTTAAGCCCATGAGTTATTAACCAATTTGGATATATTCTATGAAATCAAAACGGCACTTTATTTTGCTCTCTCCAAGTCCTTCATTTTCTCAACGAAACAAATAATAACCATTTATTTTTCTCCTTTTGGTGTCAAGTGACAAGAGTGAAGTGATAAGGACGCAAAATCTGGATTCATTAGAATTTTAGTCGGGCCAAAAAATAGCTAGAATATAGTTTTATGGACCGCTTTCAGTTGTGTTTCATGGGCCTCTTGTCCTAATCTATACTTTTTGGACCGATTTGGCTTTTGGGCCCGTTTAAGTCCAAATGTGAAGGCCTAACAAACTGGCCGAGCCATGGCCCAAAGTTGATGGAAAGGGGGGGAACGAAAGTATAATTGCCTCGATTCGAACTTGATCGAGGCTAATTCATCTGGTTTCGAACTCGACTCGCCCATACAGTTCTCATAACTGAACTAATTCCTCCCGTCGACTACTTCTCTCCTTTTCTTTCTTTATGTCACGAGATACGAAAATCTTTCGGATTCAATAGTGATAATCTCCACGGATGTACGGATATCGGCTCGTTTATGTGCATAGAATAACACTTCACCCACAGAAAAAGTGGACGACCCTTAAGATTACTCTGAATGAGAGACGTCGTGATTTGAATACAGAATCTGCTGCATTTCAAATAAGCGATTACCCATTTGATTGATTCTCGCATTATTTTCCTTTAGTCTTTAAGTTACTTATAAACAAAAGCCGGTTATGACGCGCATTCAATTTTTGAGAATGGTAGGGATTCGAATTGGGGTATAGTATCAATGACACACCCACAAATAGCACTCACGAGTCTTCATAGTCCGATTACCTTGGACCAAGTTTTCTTCTTCTCGATTTTTTGAAGGAACTCCTTTAGGGCAAGAATAGTATATATATTTGACACGATATCGTAGAGCAGATTTTCAACCTCAACAAGGTTTACATTATACACCATCTACTTAGATTGCAAGGAGCTACATTACATTCCCCATCAATTTATTGTGTTGAAGGCCAATCCTTCTAAGATTTTGATGGTAAAGTGCTGCCCTAGAAAATTTAAAAGATAATATATATATTATATAGTAGCTGGTTTTGTGTCATCAAGAAAAAACCAGCAAATTGACATAGATGGGCAATATAAGGTCTCGACCTTTTATTTTATTTGAAGGTCAAGTGGATGCTTAGTTGATTTGAAAAAAGGCCATTTCCCTCCTTCAATAACTCATTTGTGGATAGCAAAACCCAAATGTAAGTTAGGTCTGCTGACCGACCATGGAAAAATTATAAAGCTTGTTCCATGTCTGTTTTCTTTTTCTTTTTCTTTTTCTTTTTGGGCTTATAGAGAATTTAATATAATATGCATAAAGCAAATTATTATAATATGTGGGAAGATAATGGACATTGGATTTATCACCATAATAAAAAAAAAAAAGAAAGAAAGAGAGAGAACGGTATTTAAATAATCGTTCCCAAAATTTATATCCAATTAATGGTCAAGCATCACACTAATTAAAGGTTGCAGTGGGACGCCAGATGGCGCAAGGCACACGCAATTCACTAACTTCAAGTGTACTCGTTCAAGCGCATGTCTTGGCCTTATGGGTCCCTCTCCAAATTTTCATTAATTATAGTAAAAATATTAAAAGATAATATAAACAAAGAATACCCTTTTCTAATACTTAGCTCAATTGAATTTAGTATACGTGTCTCTTGTGAGTGCGAAATTAAGGTTTATATTGCTCTCATGAAAGATTCTTGTGAGAGTAAAGATGCGGATTATCAACTTAGTAGGTGTGGTTAGATTGACATGAAGACCATCATTAGCCAATCGATACACGCAATTAGATTGGAATTTGGTGGATCCTTAGAAAATATTTTGCACAAACATCGTCTATAACTTATGTAATAGGGAAAATGACACAAAAAGTTTCTAAACTTTAGCCTGACGTATAATATAGTTCTTAAACTTTTAAATTGCTCAATGATGTCTTGAAGTTTTGAGACATGTTCAAATTAGTCCTTGAGTCATATGAAATTTTTTATTGTAGTCCTTCCATTAATTCAATTTTAGAGACTATATTGAATACTTTCATATAGTTCAGGGACTAAATTGAACATGTATCAAGAGTTCATGGATGACATTGAACAAATTAAAAGTTCATGGACCATATTGCACATTGAGCCAAAGGTCAAGGACCATTTGTGTCATTACCCCTATGTAATACCCATCCATCAAGAAAATTGTCCAAAATATCTTAAACCTATTATATAACGGCCAATTCAGTAAAAAACTTTTTGATTTGATCAATTCAGTCCTCAACCTTTTGATGATTTTCTAATGTAGTCATTCTGGCCAATTTTTTTCTGATTATAGACTTCCAGTATAACTTAATCCTTCTTTAATCACGTTATATGTAAATAAGATCATCCACTTATTTTAATGCCAAATTTATAATAAGTATACTTTATCAAAATTTCTTAGCATTTCCCAGCTTTTTCTTTCCCTTAGTTCGAGGATAAGTGAATGGATTTAATAAGTACATATTTTACGCAAAACAAGACCCATTTAACGTCTTAATTCTTTTGCCAAAGACTAAAATAACATTAATTTTTATTTTTTTAAGGGATAATGACACAAACAATCTCTGAACTTTGGGATAATGTGCAATGTGATCCCTAAACTTTTAATTTGTTCAATGTCATCCTTGAACTTTTGATACATGTTCAATTTAATCCATAAACTATATAAAAATGTTCAATGTAGGTCCATGAACTATATGAAAACGTTCAATATAATCCCTGAACTTGAATTAATGGAAGGACTACATTAAACATATATTAAAATTTTAAGAACCACATTGAATAAAATAAAAGTTCAGGGATCACATTGAATATTAAACTAAAGTTCTGGACTACATTAATTAAATTAAAAGTTGATGAACCATATTTCACATTGATCCAAAGTTCAGAAATTACTTATGTCATTATCTTTTTTTTTAATACCTCTGTATATAGATTTCGAGTTTGCACCTTTTTTCTCACGGTTGGAGCATCACATCAAATTTTTAATGAGCCCGAATTTGTCTAATTCCCAGTCTTTGCGCAATTTCGTCCGTCATTTCCTTTCTTGTTTTCTGGCGTTTTCAATTTTATTTTTTAGATTTTTCCCCAGCCATCTAAAATTTGACGGGTAAGTTGACCAAGTCAACCCTTTGCCAATATGAGTCCAAGACAGGACCAATCACATTTCTACGGAGCCCCAATCTGTGCAGTGTCTTTGTCCCCTCCCAAAAAATAAAAAATGAAATAAAAAATAAACATTGCAATTATGGGAATGGTTTTTATATGCTTGTTCACTTTTCATTGATTTTGGAATTTTATCTTTACATAAAGTGGAGGAGCAAAAATATCTCCGAAATCATTGCCACTTTTACAAGTGGGAGTCTACACGCGTTAATCCAAAATTATTGAAGCTCCGCTTGCTTCGCGGTAAGTGAACGAATTAATTAATTATTCGTATCACTCGAAATAATTAGTCGATGAAAATATTTATATTATTAAAAGCAATGTATGACTAAACATTTTTGCAAATGGAGAAAATATTTATTATTCATTCATTTTTATAAGAAATGCAAACGATCATTCTAGGAAAATACTTTTCAAAATCATCTTCATTGTAAAAGAAAATAAGGGAAAATTATATATAAGGACCTGAAGTGCTATTATTTTCTCAAATAAAGACCCTAAGTGCTGTTGTTTTTTCAAATAAGAGCCCGAAAGAGAATATTTGTCCTTTACCTTTTTTTTTGAATTTTTTCCCTTTTTTCCTTTTTTATTTCGTTTTTTCCCCTGTTCTTTCCTTTTTCTTTCTTTTTCGCTAGTGACTGGTCGCTAGCCACTACTGATGCCCGGAGAGGGCTAGGGTCGCCTGGGTGATGGTTGCCGGACCCTCACCGAAAAGACAAAAAAAGAAATGAGAAAAAAGAAAATAAAATATAATTTTTTTAAATGAAAATTTTCTTTGGATGAAAACGGCCTTGATCGACTGAAATATTTGGCCGACGGGTGATCGACGAGGTCAGGCCCTTATTTGAAACTGTCATGGCTACTTCAAACCCTTATTTAAGACTTATGTGACCACTTTAAGCCCTTATTTAACACAAAATTTACTTTAAACCTTTATATGAGAAAATAAGAGCACTTCAGGCCTTTATTTGAAATTTTCCCAGAAAATAATTATGCATTCATTGTTGGACGAGTCCATGCGTGTGTGTCGGAGTTACTTCTTAACCGGATTCTTCCATCCCGATCTTCGATACATGAATGTTTTAGCTTGTGCTTTACACTAACAAAGGGATTTTGCAAAAAGTCATAATTATCATTGCTTGTTTTGTACAATGTATTTTTCTTACCGGACGGGGGAAAAGGAGGTTGCTTTGCTTTAGCCACCTTCCTTTTATCTTTTCTATATAAACATTATCTCTCTCTCCCTCTCTCTCCTACCAGCTAATTATATAGTTGTTAAACAATTACAATCATAATTACTTTTGTATTAAATATTTGATTAGCTTTGGTTCTCCCCACCTCCCCCAGCATGATCCCAAAATTAATCCCCCCCCCCCAAAAAAAATTATTTCCCCACCCACTTTCGGTCCTATTTTTTTAAATTGGTTTTTTCCTTTTTCCCACAGCATTCATTCAAAACCAAAAACGCACATATCAATGCTCTAACACTAAATTATTTAATTCCAATCGCCAATAAATTCAATGATTCCGGCCGTTTCATATAGAAATATATATATATTTATCTTTTCTTCTTTCCTTTACCAAAGAATAATGTATTTTTGGTCTTAGGAAAGTTAGGAGCCGAATTAGCCAATCAAGAAAACAGAGTTGCTTTTTCATGTCTCTGCAATTTTTTCTTTTCCCTTTGAAATCACACAGCAGAAGGCCCCCAAAAGTCGCCCCAAGATCAAAGATTTTTTAGCAATCTGTCTTCAAGATCCTGTAGCCCCTCCTCCACTGTTCGAAATACATTTAAATTTCTCTTCTTTTTTTGCCATGCCCGGCAGTAAAGATCGCCCACAATTTGAGCTTTGTCCGAGCTGAGCTGACTTGCCCCCCCCTCTTTGTGTGATCACAGAACTTCCAACTTATTTGTCACCCGGTGAAAAATTTCATCTTTTTTCGCCTGTACAAGACTCCCACTGGTTCCAAGTTTCGATTTTTTTGGGTCCCTTTTGTTCCTCTGTATTTTGGATTTTTTGTTTGGTTTTCCATTTGGCGAAACTTGGTCTTCTGTCCGAATTCGGAGCTGCTCGGGAAATTGCTGGTGTAAAAAAGGAAATGGGTCTTTGATGTCTGGCTCGTAGAAGTTCGATTATTTGTTTCTATTTTTTTTTTAAAGCTTTCGGTTATGGAGGGAAGAGATGGCGTGGGTGCTAGTAGTGGGGGTGTCACGGTGGTGGGATCAGACGCCCCGTCGGCCTACCATGTCGCCCCAAGAGCCGAGAACCCAAACCCGACGCCCGGATCGGCGCCACCTCCGGCGACGGTGGCTCCGCCGCCTCCGGCCGCCGCGGGGATTCTGGCGAAGAAGAAGAGGGGCCGGCCAAGAAAGTATGGGCCTGACGGGTCGGGAGGGCCGGCGCTGTCGCCTAGGCCGATATCGTCGGCGGCACCGCCGCCGCCGGTGATCGACTTCTCCACCCCGAAGCGCGGCAAAGTAAAGCCGGCCGGGTCGGTCAGCAAGCCCAAGTTTGAAGTGGAGAATCTTGGTAAATGCTCAGAAATGTGGACTCTTGTTGCATGCTTTTCTTGTGGATTGTGATTTTGAGCCTGGACTGAAGTGGCAGCTTGATGGTATTCCTTTTTGGTTTAGTGCGCAGTACTTCCAAGTTAAGTGTTTCCAAGTGCTTAGCAGTGAAAACTTTTTTTCTGTTGAAGTGGGACCTGGGATTGGTTAGATATGGAGATTTTACGGGCTGTGGTTGTTCAGCAAGAACGATGAGTAAATTTTGTTTTGTTTTTTTCCCTTTTCTCTGAGTTGGATTAATGTTGAAATGTGGAGATTTTTTAGCTCGAAGAGCAGGAAAAGAATCTGGACGTGCAGTTGTTTGGCTATCTGATGCTGTTATGCTATAATGTTCTTCTTGTTGATCTCAAGTAAAGTGATAAGAATTGTTGATGTTCTTGCTCTCAGGCCTGCCAGAATTTTTAGGTCGAATCTCTCTTTTCTTAATTGACCACATTGCACAGAGTGCAAGGCTTTTTAAGACTCTTTTTACGTATCTGAAGGCTTTCTCTGTTCCTTGTATCACAAAACATTGAAATTGTTTTATGAGTCGATTATGGTTGATCGCATCAGAACGTGCTTTTGCAGGTGAATGGGTCGCATGCTCTGTGGGTACCAATTTTACTCCCCATATTATCACCGTTAATACAGGAGAGGTATGTAATAGAGAACAGTAGGAATTTGATTTCTCTAGTATGACTGTCAAGTGTCTTCTTTAGGGAAAAAAGAACTTAATTATGCCAAGATTTATGAACTTATATCATTTACTATTAGTATAAAATAAGAACTTAGTCGCTCATTCTGCGCCATGAGCCTCGCCCTTAATATGATGGAGATGGAATTACTTTATTCCGAGTGCTCCAATAGTTATGATTTATTAAGTTTGGACTTGGTTGATAAAACCTCAAGCTACTGAAGTTAGCTCTGATGTTGTTTTGGATGATGGAATCAAGACTATTTATTAGACGTGCCCTTAATTTGGAGGTCTCGAGACTGTTCACAGTTTTATCCGAGAAGTTTATGATGATGGTACTAAAGAGTTAATTGCACATATTAAAAAAGAGATCGTTCCATCTGTTAACTACGTCATCTTCCTAATTTCTTCATGAAAGATGAAGTCAGACCTTTTCTTATATTACTCTACCATAGTCATTAAACATCATAGCAAATATCTGAGCAAGACATAATGCCAACATACTATGATTTAGCTGATATTCTCTTTGGTCTTGTCGCTTCATAGATCATATTCCCTTCATTCGACTGTTATTTCAAGTAGAAGACTGAATTTTTGAGCATCTCTTATTTGGTTTAGGACGTCACGATGAAAGTCATTTCCTTTTCTCAACAAGGACCTAGAACCATATGCATTCTCTCTGCGAACGGCGTGATCTCAAGTGTTACGCTTCGTCAACCTAATTCCTCTGGCGGTACCTTGACATATGAGGTGATCCATTTCTTGTTCATTCTTCTTTTTTTTTAAGTTTGAAAAGATTATGTTATGAATGGCTCGCTTTGAATCAATGGATGCCCCAGGTGCGGTACTTATTATTAGATTGCAAATACTGTGCCAGCATTTAAACAATTCTCCATTATCCATTGAAAAAATTCATTTATCAAGTTTGTTCCCGCACCTTTCCATTTCGCAGCTTTAGTCCCTCAGTTTTCCTGGTCCACTTTTGCTCCAGGGTCGTTTCGAGATATTATCCTTAACTGGATCATTCATGCCCAACGACACTGGAGGAACAAGGAGCAGATCTGGCGGGATGAGCGTCTCATTGGCGAGCCCAGACGGACGTGTCGTGGGCGGCGGCGTCGCTGGTTTGCTCGTGGCAGCAAGTCCTGTGCAGGTATTTTTGACATTTACGTGTTTCTGGCGCTGTCGGTAACAGGATGGAAGTCTTGTTCCATCATTTAAATGCTTTCATGGGTGATTCTCAGGCTAAAAAATTCTACTTCCATATTTGGTTCTTTCCGCGTGCTTGTCATTTAGAGATCTCTTACATTGTTCTTTTGGAAGTGTTCATGAGAAATTTTTATATGTTTCTGAAACTTGGAAAACCGTGAAAGCTTACTGACCAAATCATATTCGAGTTATGTTGTGAAATCTAATTCTAAACAAGATTGCCTCTGTGAATACCTACATGATTTTTCTGGCTATTCTCACCATCTCTTAGTCGAGTGTTGATCTGCCACTAGAGGAAACAAATGTATAGCTATTGATGCTAGTTTTCTCGGTCTACACTATTATACCTTATAATAAATTCTAGCATGGAGTTATAATCTCTGCAAATATGTGTACAAGTGATCTCATATTCATTCTCACCAACATCTTTTAAGAATAATTCTCTGGGAGCAAATTTTGACGGAGCATTTGTTGTTTCTGCAAAACCAGGTTGTGGTGGGCAGTTTTCTTGCGGGAGATCAGCACGAGCAGAAGACAAAGCACCCAAAACATGACATTCTATCAACAACAAACCAATCTGGAATTGTTCCGATACCTCTCTCGGACCCTAGCGTAATTCTCTCGACAAGTCCATCCTATCGAGGAGATAACTGGTCGTCGCTCCCATCAGATTCAAGAAGCAAGACGACTGACATCAACGTGTCCGTGCCCTGAGGGATGTCATATATTTTTCGTCAGGAACCACGTGATAATCATGGCAATTTAATGTAGACGTACATTTTCGTAGTCCTGTGCCCCTAGATCTTTCTGTTGCTCATTCCCAGATTGTATGTCTGCTTAGTGAGAAAGCTGCCTGGTGTTGTCGCCTTTGCATGTAAACCAAACGATGTAATAGTTTTGCTTAGAGTTATTTTCCAGACTGTTGCAAGTTGCGAAGTGAGTTTATATGCTTCGTTTTTGTATCATCTTCGTCAAATAATTCAATGTTATGTCTCCTCGATGGATCTACAATTTCCTTTACTGTTGCTAAAGCTGAAAATACTTCATTTGTTAGTTTTCTTTTGAAAAAAATGACTGTTTCTGCCTTGTCAGCTTTCTCTTGACATGCATCTGCTAAAAATTATTGATGCTGTCTCTTTCTGGTTCTTGTTGATGCTGTCCGATTGTTCCTGGGGAGGAAATGAACCCCTTTGGTCAACTCAAACCACCATCTATTGATCATCAGAGAGAGACTGATGGAGAGAGCAATTGAATAAATAATAACAATATTTGGATTATAACTGTTGTAACTAATCAAGATTGTCAATTCTCTCATACAGGTTGGTTTTCAAGATTTTAGCTGGTATCCTCTCCTGCATGACGAAAGTCAATGATGTAGACCATTTACACAATATGTTATGCTTCGGCATCTTTGCCTTAGTCCTTAAACCAAACTGCGAACATCGGGTGCCACTGGAAGGGGATTCTGTACGGAAGCTCCGGCATCTTTCGGAATGCATCTGAAAATATTATTTTGAAGGCGGCGTATTCTTGTAAGATTTAACAATGTAGAAACTGTACAGAATGCCACGGAGAATTTTGTGTCTTGTGTGCACCGCAAGGAACAAGAAAGGGTCTGCTTAATTGTCGCCTGATCATTATTCATTAGGGATATGTTCTTTTTTACTCCACAAAAAAATCAGGGTTATGTTCTTAACTCGTTGTGTTATGGATTTTAATTTGAAAGATTTTCAAACTATGAAGTGCTGAGCACTTACCGAGTGATCTTTCCGTACAAGATTTTCATTACTTGAGAAGGTGGGCTTGCTCGATTTCCCATTGTTTGAGCAAATGCAGCTCATATCTACACGTACACTATATTTAAACTTCTAAGTAAACCCATTTGTTTATTGAGTGAATCAGATTTTCCTTAACAAAGCTATAAAAAGGGACGATTTTCTCACGCAAAATCATAAGTTGAAGCACTTTGAATTGCCAGCAAACCAAAGTATTTGCTTGCTGGGGCATGAAGTTTGTCTTGGTACCTATACTTGCATCTGCGTTAATCTTTGTTGCTGTGCTGCTTCTGACCTCGCTGACAACTTCAAAACTTAAACGTACCAATCTTGTTGATCCGTCTTCAAGATCTCTTTTCGTGTTCTTGGCATTAAATTTCGTCGTTCTTGCAATCCTCCTCGGGAGCCATAGCCATACCGACCATGAAGTAGAAAGGCGTCTCTCTTTTTCTTTCTATGAAGAATTTAGGGTGGATGATCCTGCCGATGAGGATGAAAACGAGGTTCACACTGATGACAGCGAAGATGAAGATGATGGTCGTTCAAATGACGACGTCACTTCTGATGGTTACGAGGAGGATGACGATGACAGTGGAAGCAATGGCGAGATCGGATGGTCCAATGATGAAGATGGTGACGAAGCTTTCGAAAAGGATGAAGACGGGGACATCAATTTGGAGAAGAGAAGTGAGGACTTCATTGCCAGGGTCACCAAAGGATGGCGGGAAGAGAGGATGAGAGAAGATTGAGACCAAGCACAAGGTCAATGTATCAAAATTCTTTGATTTTTATGAGCAACACTATCTAAATCATTGTAAGGTCGAATAGCATACCATTACTTGAAGTTCGATGTTTCGCTGATGCGTTATTATTTTCTTTCCTTCTGCTGGGAGATATTTTTGATGTACTAATTTAATCAATTTTGCTTCTTCTCCTTCCCTTTCATGCCCACAACCTAACAGAATCAACAAGATGTCCCAACTTTGGAATGATTTATTTATTCCTGTTCAGGGGACACCGCCCTCATAATACATGTAGATCTCTTTGACGTGTGATATACTCTTCTCAGTTTGCTTGGTATTAGAAAGAACACAGATAATGTTCCAGAAAAATCCAAATACACCTTGGAAGATACCAAAGTCTACGGAGGTGAATCCATCCCCATGAGAAGCCTTCTCATTGAGGAAAGAATCGCAGAGATGATCCCATCAAAAAAATATCAAGCACCAGGCTAAAATGATTACCTATCTGTCAGATGAGAGCCAACAAGCGAGTTTTGCCAAATCTGCTGTCGAAGAGCAGCTCCGTTGAGTTTTCTTGGGGCATCGGCCGTGATGTGACAGACTATATGATCCCATCAGACCCTATTCAAGCGGCTCTTGAGCATTCGAGCGCTTCACTCAAGTCCACGTAAATCTGCAAAGAATAAAAAACCTCTTTAAGACGCAGAATCCTCATATGGCTAAAGCAAACACTTTGCAAGTGCAAGCTTTGTGACGGGATAAGTTGACAAGGAGTAGTAAGCAAAAACACTAACGAGGGCTTGGTCCATAAATTCAACTTCTCAGCAGGTTGTCCAGTCTCTAGGCCAACTCGTTGAATAATTAATCTCTTACTCGAAGTAGCTCATTTGCTTTCTCATTAATATCGTCAGCCTATAAAACATTACCAAGTAGATAACCGTAAGACGCACAGAAGAGATTCAAAGATATGATGGAATATAGTCGTATCTCACCAGAAGCAGCTCCAGCTAGAGATTGCATAGAGATTCTTGAGAGCAAGATTGCAAGATAATTGCCTCTATGCAGCAATAATAGAAGTTGGAAGTAATTAGGAGGGGATCTCAATGTCAATCTTTGTTTTGGTTAAACCTTCTCCAAAATGAATTCTCCTAATGCTTTGCGATATCAAGGTTCCGATAATCCCTTTCAATAAAGATTTCTCCCAACTCTAACCATTGAGATGCATTCAAACCAATGCCCCTCACAAACCAACCCCTGTCAGAGGAAACCCAAAATTCTTTATCCACTAACCTTGGGCATGATCCATTATTTATTCATGGCAAGAAAGGAACTATGAAAGTTCATCTTTAGCACACTCTTCCGCAAGCCAGGAGCTGCTTAAAATCTGGGAATCTTTTTTTTTGCTTGTAATTTGAGAACTGTCAAGAATACATGATTTGATAAACCAATTTAGTACCGAAGGACATTAAAAAACAAATCGTGCTTCATCTGATGGAGCACCAATGAACAAAAAGTTGCTGTTGCTACCACTTGAGGGCAAGCGCATGAGAAGCACTAAGCCCTAAAAAGAAATAAACTTCACATGTGAAACTAGCATACCTAGTTGCCTCAATATTCTGATGGGCATGAAATTAAGCTGCTTGATTCTTCAGTACTTTCATGGCTCAGAATCTGTTCCTCTTAAAGCTTCTAAAGACATGCAATGCTAGAGTCTACTAGGATGACTCTCAAATATCTTCTAAAAGCAAGGCATGAAATCCACGTCTCCATGCGGACAAAGTCGGAGTCAAAAGTCTAGCTTGGTTATGCTTGAGCTGACTTAGACTGGCCTCTGACTTGAACAAGTTATAAACAAATCCAGTCATCATAAAACGCCCAACATCTGAGATATGTGAGACTTGGGACAAGAAAGATGGTGAACACCCAACAAAAGGTGCTATACATGAACTCAACAGCTCACAAGCTTCCAATGAGCAATACTTGAGGTATGGAGGACCTAAGAGGACTCCACCCAACTATAGCCAGGAATTTTGGAGGATCCCTTCTCCTCCACGACCTCTCTCATTTGCTTCACATCAGTCCACCTCCCAACAGATGCATAAATGTTGGAAAGCAGAGAACGATAACCAGCTCTATCAGGCTCCAAATTAAAGCAATGCTGAGCCGCAATCTCCCCAATCTCCATATTGTTGTGTAACCTGCATGCAAGAAGCAGAGCTCCCCAAGCACCGGCATGGGGCTGCATAGGCATGGTCTTTATTAGATTATATGCATCTTCTAAGAGCCCAGCCCGGCCCAGTAGATCAACCATTATTCCATAATGGTCAGCTGAAGGCACAAGACCATAGTTCTTCATGGAGTTGAAGGATCCGTATCCCTCTTCAACCAAACCAGTGTGGCTATAGGCAGTCAATAATCCAGTGAAAGTGACTGAATTAGGGCATATTTGGGCATCCACCATCTCTTCAAACAGTTGTATTGCATCAACTGCCTTACCATGAACAGCATATCCTAGAATCATTGCTGAATAAGCAATCAAATCCTTCTTCTTTAAGCTGTTGAACAGCTCGTATGCCTTACCAATACTTCCACACTTAGCATACAAGTCAATCAAAGCTGTAGCCAAATGGTCATCCTTCTCTATACCAAGCTTCTCTATCTGCAATTCAATCCATGACCCAAACTTCAAATCTCCCAGCTGTGAACAAGCTGATATAATGCTGGAAAACGTAATCTTATCTGGAACAATTTCCGAACCGCACTCAATCATGCCATTGAATATTTGAAGGGCTTCTGTCGGTCTGCCATTTTGAGCATAGCATGCTATCATGGCATTATATACAAGCAGATTCTTCTCGCCCAACTGGTCAAAGAGAAGACTAGCTGACTCGATATCCCCACATTTCGAGTAGCCACCGATCATTGCAATCCAAGAAACCTCACTTCTTTGGGGCATGGCATCAAAAAGTTCTCGAGCCAATTCAATGCTCCCGCAATCAACATATCCACTAAGCATAGCATTCCAAGAAGCTGAATTTCTTTCCGGCATCTGCTGAAACAAAACCCCTGCCCGCTTCATATCCCCTGCTTTGGCATACCCAGAAATCATCGAATTCCAAGATATAACATCCTTCTCTGGAATCTCACTAAAAAAGTTTCGTGCCAAATCAAGATTTCCCAATCTTAAGTACCCAAATAAAATCGAATTCCAAGAAACAACATTTCTCTTGGGCATTTCATCAAAAACTTTCTGAGCGGTTGGCATTTCGCCCAATCTTGAATACAAATCCACAAGCGCTGTTTGCACGTACACGCAGCCACTGAAGCCATACTTACTAAGCTGGGCATGAACCAACCTCCCACCAACAATATCCCCAGTCCTAGCACACGCCCTCAGAGCAGAAGAAACAGCGAACGTGCTCGGACACAACCCAAGCGTCTGCATTTCGCAGTACGCAGAGCAGGCCTCTCTGAATCGGCCATGCTGAGACAGGAAGCGAATCAAGTAACCCCACGAGAAGGAATCCGGGCTTTGCGCGTGATGAAGGATCGACTTCACGTACTGAAGCAAATCGAAAGAGTAACCTCTTGTCGAAACGAGAAGCTGATGCACCAAAAGAGGCTGAAGGTGATGAAATCTGTGGACAAGGATGGCGGCGTGAGCTTGTTGAGCATGCTTCAGGGTCAAACGTTGATTCAACAAGAACTTCAGTTCGGACACGATCATCCGGTCGATCATCCAACTGACACAACTAAACGGCACACCCTCTGTTTCTGACGTTAGTGCAGAGAAAGAAGTGATTTTTGGGTTACTAAACGGCACAACATGCTGAAGGGCGTGATTAAGTCCATATGTACTTCTTTTAGTAGTATATCGCATGTATTAGGGATCGTCATTCGACCATCATCTAGGAACTTTTTTGAAGAGTTAGTAATTCGTCATTGTAATTTGCCGAGCTCTTGATTTTTTTTATATTGCCGAAAGAGTTAATCCATGAAAGATAGGCCGCGAATGCCCGACCGAATCCATCGGATTATGTTATGTAAGAACAAGGTTCTAAGTCTATTGGCCTAATAGAATGTCGTGGCTGTATACAATGCCGCATTTTCATTCGACAACCGTCATAATGATCAAACAGCTCATCTCACAGTGACCTCTTGAGTTCTTGAAACTTCTCCGTCTCCATTGGGCCGGAGAACTCATCGCCGATCATCGTAAATCATAATCGAACAGACTTACCTCAACCCATCTCGGTCAATATCGCGCAAACAATGTGTAGCTTGTCTAGAATAGAAAGTACAGCAATGTGTTTTGATAGACCCCTTCAGGGACGAATGATTCTACTCTTGGCCAAAGAGTAAATTTTTCTAGAACATGCATTCTCATTCCAAGTACGCGCCTGAATTGCGTGTATAGGACGGCAAAGATACAAAAGTCAACAGTACAGTCCTACAGCCTAAGAAGAGAAGGAGGAGGAGGAATCACTGCAAATTTCCTCGAAATCTCACTTCAAATAAATTAACAGAACACCCTAAAATCCTACAGAGTCCAAACTCCCCGAGAGTTTTCAGCATCCGCAGATCCCCGTCGTCATGTTAAAGCAGTAACCCACGAGGACCGCCAACACAAGCCCATCCGAAACCGAATAACTTCAGACAACAAGTGATTTCCCAATTCAATCGTGTTCGTTCAGCGCACCCATGATCATCCTAAAGGAACAGACAACGAATACATTAATTCAATCTTATATTAAATAAGGTAACTTTAAGCTCCTTTTGGTAAGGATAAAGTAAATTGTTGAAAGGTGGAAGCTAGTGATGATACCAAAATATGGAGAGGAAGAGCAACAAAATCAGATAACCCAGTTTGAAAAGCCGCTGTTTCTTTTCCCACCTGAGCATGTTGTATATCTCCGTGACATCAACAAGGTGCTGCCTTTGCATGTACCTACAAAAGGAATAAGATGAGAAGCTATTGCTTGAATCGTACTGTAGTATCAAGAGATCTCACAACACTCGATACACTGAAGTGGCAGTAGACTCCATCCTTAAGGTTGTGTTTTTGATAAGAATGCATAACAAGAGAGCGACATTTTCGAGCCTGATAATCCTTTTGGCAGCTAAATTGATTTTCACAACTTCTTAAAGCCCATACTAATCGTTTCATGAGAGAACTCTAGTGTTTGACACCTGATACCCAGCAAAATGTTCACAAATATCCCTGAAATCTCCCCTAATGTTCTGAGTAGTGAATGAGGACATTCCAAACGCACAGAAGTCTCAGTCATGTGCATAACTAAACATAGAACCTCTCTCTCAGATGGAACATAATTCTCTGCAAGCGTCAAAGGTATCTATATCTTGTTTATGCATGCAAACCTGATCATACCCGAGCGCTTGGAAGCCTAAACAGAATTAAATAAATTTCTTAAACTGGTTTTGAAAGCAAGAACATGCATAAATTCATTCATCAAACAAAAAGTTATGGAGCTTATGGCGGAGTGGATTGAACGAGAAAACTTACAATTGCACGTTGTGGTATAGATATGGAACACATAACAGGGACATAAACCAATGCCCTGTTACGAGATAGAAGAAGCATAGCACTCCTTGTCCAATATACTCTGGCATCACCACTCTGTTTATACGCGATGAGGAATCATAAGGATTTATGTAATCAAACTCCAGATCTGCCAAGCACATGAGCTGCAGGCAATCCAATAAAAGATGTGAATTTTAGAACTTGAAAAGACAGCCAAGCACGCACCAAGTAGCTGCATATGTAGCATCCAGATGCCATGAAGAAGATATGAGTGAAACTAAGTATATGAACTGTAACTTTCTATGCGGAGGAACTGTTTTAGAACCTTAACACCCCAATCTTCTATCGGACTGTCACACAGGGTAAGCAAGCAAAGTGTATAACTAGGCTCATGGAATTAAGGCATATTGAATAGCTGAGAGATGCTATCCTGACCTAATCCTCCTACCACATAACAAACCCAAATTTCCGAAGCCAAGAGTGCTTTGTGAAGCAATGAACTTAAGGTTGCCTTCTCCAATTCATGCAATTTGAAGGACCATACAATGTCATGACCGTAAAAGACAGCACCCGAACTTGGATGCTCAAATTCACATCAATCGGATTTCAGTATACAGTCCTAGCTCGAAAAGATGCACGGAAACCTCAAAACAATTAAAACTGCAAGTGGGTAAAGCTTATAAAGCTATTCCCTCAATCCAGTTACAAACATAAAAACAGGATCAATGTTCAATGAAATTCTCTCTGGAAAAAAAAAAAAAAAAAAAAAAAAAAAAAGGAGGCACTTTGCTCGTGTTTTGTCAGCAAAACTCTCTGCTTTTCAATCACATTACAGAACTATTGCCTTAAAGCTTTCTGACCCATCTCTCCATTCACAAATACAGCTTCAAGGAGCTAAACCCATCTTAATTCCTTATCATATACTCATCGATTGAACTTGTCAGCCAGTTTGATCCTCCAGGAGAGGAGGAGGAAAACCGCATTCCAGATACTGTACTAGCAGTGTTCAAGGTGTAATAAACTGAAAATTAAATAGCTCCCCAAACGTTCTCTTCGCTCTTCACTACAGCTGATACAAAGTTCCCAGAAATTCTCGATTAAAAATCGAAACTTTAGTACGGAGAAGGCCAAAAAACAAAGGAGAAAGGAAGGTAGGGTTTAGGGCTTTGACCTGGAAGACGATGACGACGAGCAGAGCTATGATGATGAAGAAAGCCCCGAGCCATGCGTAGAGATCCCACATCTCACGCGCTGTAATCTGCGCTCTCCGTCTCGAGCTCGATCACTCCGTCTCTCTCTCTCTCTCTCTCTCTCTGAGACCCGGGCAGCAGAGAAACAGAGGAGGAGGAGGAGGAGGAGGAGGAGAGTGCAAGATAGCAACCCGAGCCGACAGAGGCCTGTCGATGCGCCGGCGGGGGTGTGCAACGCGCACTCGTCTTGCTCTCCTCTTCGGGGCATCCGACGTGGAATGTCAAAGTCAAAGTCAAACAGTGTCAGCGGAGAGACGTGGAAAAGGTAAGGTGGGACTCGAAATCATAGGGCTATATATGTGGGCTTAGGGCCTTTTCATCTGTTTCGAAGTATTGTGGAGTTGGTCGTGAAAGAAGAGGCAAAGGAGTAGTTTCACTTTCCTTTCATTGGGCTACCTAAATCACAAGATCAAAGCATGTTCTAAGCTTGTATTATCGATGTATGATATCATTTGTGAAATTAATATCGGAATTTTATCGATATACACGCCCGTGTATAAGAATCGAATGGACATAGGCTGCGTTTGATTCTCGGGATTTTTGACCAGATGTAGTGAGATGGATAATGTGTGTGTGATCTCGTAATCTTTGCGTATCTACGTCGTCGATAAAATGTTGGAAGCATGATAAAATTTCAAAGGAAGGGCAAAAACGATAGTGGACACGAAACGCTAAACATTCATGCACTTGTTAAATATTCGATGATGACGGGAGGAGCGGCTCCTTATCGTAGACCGTCTTTAGCTCGTCAAAGCCCACCCCTCGATCCGCGTGGTCCATTGTCCGTTGGCTTCAAATGCAGTAGCCGATTGGATTGCGAAGACCCAACGAATCGGCTCTCTTGCACAAAACTGGCTTTTGTTCCCCAGCAAGCCCTTTCAGACCGTTTTCGTAAATGAATCAAATTGTTTCTTCGACAAAAAAAAAAAAAAACAAATTCGATGACGGTGTAAAGAATTGCACGATAAATTTCTAGGGTAAAAGTATCTTTTCATTATGTGGGGAAAAGAAATATACTTTCCAATTGCCACAATATGAACATTTGATCAAATGGGATCTGAAGATCGTATACATGAGCTGATGCAGGCAATTTGAAGTGCTCAAAGAAGAAGAATTCCAAAGAAGGCGATATGAATGGGGAAATGAAGCAAGCGGATGAACATTGCTGTCTTTGTGTTTCAATAAATGTATGTATCGCCATGGTCTTCATTGTGTCGCGCTCTAGTGATCATTGGAAACAAATGAAGAACCTCCAAAGCTTAGGCGTCCTCCGGATGATTTTCCCGATTCTTCGGGCGACGAAAGTCGGCGCTAAGAGGAGAGAAGGCGGGATCGACGGAGGGGTCGATTTCGCGGACACGACTTCTGGAACCAAAGAAGCAGAGTCTTCACCTGCACCGTGACCATTGCTGCTTCTCCGCAGATAGAAGCTTCTGCTACCAACATCTCCAATCAGTTCTGATTTGTCCAGACCTGCATATTAAGGGGAACAAAAACGCAGATCATGTCACTGGCTTTTCTTTATTTACCCAACAATCTGTTGGTAGAAAGCAGCATATCTACTTCATAATGCCAAATGATCTCAAATCTTGACCGGTTAAACGAGGTTTTGGCTCGCGTCTCTGAAATATTTCGTGGCTCCAGAAACTATTTTAGCTCAAAGTAGATTCACTCGATGTTAAGACGAATGCAGTGGTACGAGGACGAGTTTCTCGAAATGCACTTCAATGGCGACGTACCGTGGAGGCTGAAGTGAGAGGGGTGCAACTCGAACGAAGCCGGGGCGGCGTGATGGGGCAGCAGCTTAGGAGCCCGGCCTTCGCGGCCGTAGCGGTCCATGACAAGCCGGATGGTGTCCTCCACGCTGGACCCCAGCCTGACCATGGCCCTTATAGGCCCCGGGCTTCCTTCCACCGTCACGTTCACCACCACCTTCGCGTCTCCCTTCGGTCCCTACACTCCCACACGAATCCATCCAATCCAGTTCAGTCCTCAGGATCAATACCTCTCCGACAGCAGTAACATCAGAGGCTTTCTGCCCACATGCGATTGAAGTAGCCGCAAAATCAGACTACTAGAAAAGTCTGACTGGGACAAAAGCCAATCACGTGTCTCGTTTTGCGCCATAGACTGATGCAATATCAGTCTTCTTTTCTGACTGTTAGGGACTAGTCTCTTATCAATTAGGTGGGCAATCCCACATTAAAAAGCTATAGGCCCTTGGAAGGTACGGACGGCCTAACCATGCCTTTCGGCCCCATTACTCGGCGTGTACCCGCCAAGCTCGTGATCAGGTCTGATCGAATGTCGCGACTGGTCGAAGGGATCCAAAGAAAGAAAAGGGAAGACGATCGCGGGGTAATTCACCAACAGTTCTTTTTCGTATTACTTGGGATGGCTTCCATCCGAATCCTTGGGCTTAACTAGATTCCTCCTAAATTATTTAGATGGATACTTGATTTCCAGTTAAATAATGATCAGGCATGATGGAACGTGCCGTGTTTCAAGAACTCGAAGGTCAAACTTGATAATGGTAGCAAAAAAACATACAAGACCACAAAATTTTACCTCGTAATTCGGTGGAGGAGATGTCATACCCAGCAGAGAAGAAGACGACGACGACGCTGCTGCTGCCGGAGCCGCCGCGTTGACATCCGTGCACGTCTCATGCCTGGACACACTTCCTCCGCGGTTTGACCTCCTGCTGATGCTCCTCCCGACACCATCCTCGACCGAGCCAAATCTCCCCAGCCTCGGCTCCGAGGACGACCTTTTCAGAAGGCCCTCGGCGGCCGGTTTCGGCTGCCTGTTGACCGATGATCGGCGAGGCGGCGGGTAACTCCGAGGGGAAGGCGATGGCAGGTGGTGGGAATCGGGTTTCCTGGTGCCGGACGGGGGGACTCGCCGCGGGCGCGTCCGAGTCCTCTGCGACATTAGATCGAGACGAGATCGTGCCTAATGGAATTGTGTCAAAGGAAGAGAAGACGGAGGGAGGAAGGGAGGAAGAGAAAGGTAGTTGGCGTGGGAGTTTGCTTGTGAAAGCAAGTCTCTCTCTCTCTCTCTCTCTCTGTCGTTGCCTAATTGCTTTCGGAAGTTTGCCTTGATCAACTGTTTTCGGAGACCCGGTTGTCCACGATTTTACAAATCTTAAGAAGCGATCCGACAAGCAAAACTTCCGCGTGATTCTTAACTTATGGAAAAAGGATTATCGGGTTCACGCTCGCAGCCTCCCTTAATCGAGGAAAAATTACCGAAAAAGTCTTAAAAACATATTGTATTTGTGTCAATTGAGTCATCAACGTTTTTATTTAGCCAACTAAATCCTAAATCTTTTGACGATTTGCCAATTTAGTCCTTTCGGTAGTTTTTGGACAGAAATCGTTGACATGGACGCCGACAGTGTCACGTAGAACAGTTAGTGTGCACGTCAGCGATTTCTCATGACTAAACCGGCAAATTGTTAAAAGGTTTAGGATTAAATTAATCAAATTGAAAGGTTTATAACTAAATTGGTGTGAGTGTAATAAGTTTAGGACAATTTATTGGTAATTTCTCCCCTCTTCTCCATAAAGCAACATAAAATTATTATTTTTTTTTTGAAAAAAAGAAGAGGCTGCAATCATAGCCCGAATAGTTGCAATTTCACTTTCTTGATATGCGGCATGACGTAGAGCATCGTGGTCCAGACACATACATACATATTTATCAAAATTATCTAATCTCTTGTCCTCCTTATTAATATTACTTTAGTAGGTCGGCCAGAAATCAGAATTAACTATTTCATTTTTCAGTGCGCAACTCGGAAAAACTAATTCTGACGACGATTCAATAGATTAGGTGCATCTGCTATCTGCTCTCAGATTACTACTATTAAGAAGATTTTGCAAGTTGACCCATCATTTTTTTCCCTAAAAATTTTAATAAATCGTTACGAAAATAGGCTTGCTCTCTTCCTGATGCTACGACACTTGACACTTTACACGCTCCTTTCTACACGAGTCCGTGCCGTACGCGTGAGATGCGAGGTATGGATGTAATCACGTCGAACGGATAACCAAAAAAACGATATGAAAAGAGTAACAAACAAAAAAATAAATGGAAAAGGGAGAGCGTCGGGATCGGAACGTGTAGCGCGTGCTCCGACTACCGTGTTATGCGAACCGTTTTTTACCAGAGCGAATCTAAAAACCTGCGAGGACACGAATGTGTATGTCGCGATATGCTGGAGACGAAATCACACCAACAAAATGGCTTTTCGAGCTATTATTACTTAACGACGACATCAAATGGCATTTGATCACGAAGGATCGCGCCAACAAGCATGCTCGATCTTGGGGGCCTGCGTACGATGTTGTAGGCCCAAGCCCAACGCACGATTTTGTAAGATGGGCCTTTGTCTGGGCCAACCTCGAGCCTCGATAGGATCCCTCGAGAATCCTCCCCACCAAGAAATGACATTTTGGTACTAAAAAAAAATTCTAATTAAACCCTTTTTGCTCGCTCCGTTTGTTTCGTCAAAAATTAATAATTTAAATTTTTTTTTACCCAGTTTCGATTATCGTCATCGCTTATAAAAACAAGTAGATAGAAAATATTTTCAGTTAACCCTTTTTTTTAAAAAAAAGATATAAATAACCGAGATTAGGGAACAAACCAAAACCCGGTGATGTCAGGATTTTAAGTTGGCCGTTGATTGTTCAAAGGATGGTATCGCTTGTTCCAACATCTAATAAGAAATCACGAAACAAACGAAACCGGTGACGTGAGGATTTTTCAGTTGGTTGTTGATCGTTCAGTGGATGGTGACGCTTGTTCCAACATCCGATAAGAAATCACAACGTCAATCAATAACATTTCCCAGTATATATATCCAACGTTGCTTGAATCCTTATACTACTTCGGATGCATGGTTCTCTTTGGTATCGTGGCTTCTGCTCAAAATTTTTATTGGGTGTTGAAACAAGCAAGTCATAGTTGATATCAAATCAGAATTTTTAGCAATGCGAGACGCACCAAAACATTGTTACCGCCGGTCTCTTACTAACGTCGGGGGGCGATTTCTCATCAAAAGTCGAAAAAGGGGCAATCGAGAATTGAATTACCGACGACTAATGAAAAAACATCGCATCGTGTCGTACGAGGGTCGCAGTAAGTTTAATACTTCTTTAGTTGTCTCGACATCGATTAGATTGATATTGCAAACAGAGTTTGAGTACACTTGCCGTCGTTCTTTTAAAGTTTAAGGGTTCATCTCAGATCCGCCGGGGCCGCGCGGACCACGACCGGTCGAAGAAGTTCTGTCGTTGTCCGCCCTAAAGAATTCGATGCCGTGCACCACCCTACCTCTGTTCTTGATTGGTACTTCTGCTTGCGAGAGAGTCCCACACCAAGCTCCATGCCAAAAGAAATAAAATAAAATGGAAGCATACTTTACAGGGGGAAAGAAATCTGTGCATAGAGGGGATAAAAGCCGCAAAAAATCTCTGTTCACTGTAATATATTTATTCTGAATTTTTTTTTTGTTATATCAAAAATCCTAAATTATGCTTACCACGACAATATCAAAAACCCCAGACTTATACGGATGTAACATATTTACCTTCCGTCGAGGCTTCATTAGATGATACTCTAGCCAAAATGGCGTCATTTTTATTTCACTTAAGCCATGTGAGATTTTCGACCAAAAAAAAAGTCATGTACTTGCCATGTCGATACCGTTTGCCTTGCATCATCCATATAGGTAGAATATTAACGAAAGGTAAACGTGTCGCACATGTACAAATTTAGAAGTTTAGGGTGAATGTATTTCAGTCGAGGCAGTTTGAGGTTTTTGGAGATATTTTTCTTAAAATAGCGAAAAATCCGGAAGTTTTGCTTATCTAATAAATTCTGAAATTTTTTATTTTATGAATAGTAGTTAATTGCACCAATTATTGATATAGTATCTGAAGATTCCCTCAAGCTGAAGACAGCATCTCAAGTGCTGTACACTTTTTTTGTCCGATTAACAAGGCGTGTCGGAGATGTCATCAGCCCTGAACTCCCACGAAAAAAGAAAGACATTTCTCCGCTGTCCCTTGCATGATCTGCCCTTCGAGCCAAATCCACCACCGCTGAAAAAAAACAAGAGTCAAAATATTCATCGAGTTCGCTTGACCGGACACCTCTTCTTAAGATTGAGTTTCCATTGCATTCTCGAGCACGAAAAACCGTCACTTGACCGTCTAAAACAGATTGTAACTTTTGGAGATCTTTTTGGGTACATGTTTATCGATTTACTTTGTTACGTGGGGGCGAGTTGTTGTGGCGGCCTCGGCTCTTTTAATTTAGATGGCGTGGCGAGAGATGCAAAATTCTAAGCTAGGGGAAGCGAGTTGAAAAGGCTCTTTCGCGAAATCTCTAACAGAAGGGGGGGATAAACCCGGATTTCACGTGAGATTTCAAACAATGTCCTCGTCTTGACGTGAAGGAGCAAACTTCGTTATTCTTTTTTCTTTTTTTCATTTTATTTGCCTCCCGCAAGACGTATCGGTAATGTTGTCTTAGATAAATGCGAAAGACGGTGAATTTCCGATAGGATTCATGATTCATTACAGTCCGCTCCGATGGAAACCCTGTTATCGGGATACAGTGCCCGGACTCTAATTGCCCTCGCTCGGCCTGCGTACGGAGCGAAGGGACGGACATGATTCAAGCCTTGAGATGATAGTTGACATGTGACTGATACGAAAGAGACGATTTGGAGAGGAAGAGGACGAGAATAGAATCGTATTGCTATTATTTAACGCTAAAAGAAACCGTGTTCCTAACTTCCTATGGGTGGACCAAGAATAGTAAACTGCTTATCACTTTTTAGAAAACACACTACACGTTAGATTACCTTTTGAAAATCATGCAAAAGCTAGGTGTCTAAATTCGGATAGGTCAATCCCGTTTCCGGATCGTGTATCTAGGCTTTTCGAGAGAAGAAGGCTTTTTTTTTTTAGTAATCGAGGTGTCCGGATCAGAAGGCTTTATAAAGTACAAGTAGGGAAAATTACCAAAAAGTCCTAAACCTATTATGTAATTGTGTCGATTCACCATCCAGCCACTTTTTGCCGGTCCGACGGGCGTGAACGTTGGCCGGCTGACATGGCAATATTTTAATAATTTATTTCTTTCAAATTTTTTTTACTTTTTTCTCTCTTTCTTTTTTTTTTTTTCTATCTTTTTCCCCGATCGTCGGTCCGGCAACCGAGCTAGAGGCTGAGGCCGGCTAGCTCGACCTCGCCCACCGATGGTGAGGCCGGCGAGCTCAACCTCGCCCACCGATGGCGAGGCCGCCTAGATCTAGCGAGACCTCACCCATCGACGGCGAGGCCGCCCGGATCTGGCGAGACCTCTCCTTGGCCGGTCGAGGTCGAACCTCGCCATGGCCGGGCAAGCTCGACCTCATCCACCAATGGCGAGGCCACTTAGATATGGTGAGACCTCTTCGTCAGTGGGCGAGGTTGAGCTCGCCCGGCCATGGCAAGGCTCGACCTCGCCCGGCGACGGCAAGGCTCGCCCTCGCCAATGCTGGCGAGGGCCAACCTCGCCCATGGCCGACGAGTTCCACCTTGCCGGCCTCAGCCTCTGGCCCGGTCGCCAGACCTGCAACCGGGTAAGAAGATAGAAAAAAAAAAAGAAAGAGAGAAAAAAAAAAGTCAAAAAAATTCGAAAAAAAATAAAAAAAATTAAAATATTGCCATGTCACCCGGCCAGCGTCCACATCAGCGCCGCCCGGCCAAAAGTGGCCGGATGGACTGAATTGACACAATTGCAAAAGGTTTAGGATTGAATTAGCCAAAAAATAGGTTTAGGATTGAATTGGCACGATTGAAATAGGTTTAAGACTTTTTTAGTAATTTTCCCGGTACAAGTGATAGCGGACAACTGTACTAAAGTCCATACACATTTTGTCGAAAATGAAATAAGTGCAATCAAGCCTTAAACGTTTTGAATCCAATGTAATGGATTTCTTTGGACGACGTGTGAGCCAAATTTGCCAATATAGCATGCTGAAAAATCTGACATGACTTTTTCTTTTGTTGTTTTGAACAAATGTGATATAAACGTGGCGTTGATGTGTCGCCGGTTCAG